TTTTATTTTTTTAAAATAAAGTTCTGAATTTCAGTGCGCAGGTATATGCTAATAATAACCTATTTTACTGTAACCAATCATTGGTGTTCAACCAGAAACCTACACTGTATAAACACAGTTCTCCTTTCAAAATAGCAAATGAGCCTATCTTTAATGTTTACCTTCTTTGACCTTGTAGCAGTAGAAGCTTCAACAATCATACACTTTACAAATCTACAAATGTAGAGGACTGTTTACACAGAACATTACTTATTGACTGATAAGGACAACACAATTTATAAGTTATGTGTTAATCTGTACAATTTCTTTTAAAACCTGCATTGTCCATGATTACTGAGAAATTCTAGAATAAATGTATTCATTCAGCATTGCATCAAACAACTGAATTAAATTTAACTTTTACGCTATAAAAATCTGCACTACACTGAAAAATCAGAAAGGAAAAATTTGAAAATAATTGAAAATAAAAGTATAAAGATAATTTTTGTAATTACTGCATTTAGCTTTCATCCAGAAGCACCTTCTGAGTCTCTAACTTGGTTGACTTTGTTCCGCTTACTAGAATTTTTGAACACCTTTGAACTTCATGACTGAACACAGCAGCTGCCTATCTGTGCCTGCCAGAGGCTGATTCCTGTCCTCAGCTAGAAGAAACATCTTAAAACAGTCCCACACATGGCAATTACAACCACAGAAGTTCTGATGAGCTCCTGAAGCAAGAAAGCTAGAGCTGTTAGATGTGAAATCTGTTAAAAACTTTAGTCTCAAAGATCTTAAAAAGCTGAGTTTAAAAAGGGAAATTTGGGACTGCTTATTTTTTTCCCCATATTTTAGCATCTAGGGGATAATTTTTCAACATCGTAATTACTGCACAGGGATATAAAGAAGTAACCAAAAACTTTGTAAAACATGCTACAAAGGAAAAACTAATTCATATGTTGAAGGAGAAATCAAGAAAAGGGTTATTTATTCATAATAATCATCAGGATATTTATGATTATTATAAAAATACACATTCAGAACCTATAGGCTACAAAAGGTAAGGATTCCGTTTAATTTTGGTCATATTGTTATAATCATACTATTCTTAATAAGGATTTTTTGGTGTTTAAGAATTTCTTGAGTTAACCATTAAAAATTTTAATTTGTAATCCTCCAGTAATACAACGAGAGCCTTGTCTTGTTTCCTAACTAATAATTAAAAAAAAAGAGATGTTTTTTAAAAAAAAAAAAAAAAAAAGTATTCGTGGAATAAGATGGTTACCTCCTGTATTTCCACTTAAATCATCTGCAAGGCTTTCATGTTGGGTTTCTCGCAGAGCAAACAAAAACTGAGAGAACCAGTCCTTCTTCTGTACTATTCTGCTCAACAGCTCCCTTGCACCGTCTCTGTTCCCACGACTGTCAGTAACAGTCTCAATCTGGTAAAAATAAACAAACAAACAAACCCCAAGACAGAATTTTGCAATAGTTCAGATAAGTTAGTATGAATAGTATACATGCATAGGTTGATCTGAAAGTAATGCCTTCTATTTATTTCCACAAAAGCTACAACAGATAGAGAGAGTACAGCAAATGCTTGGCTACAAAACACTGTGTCTCAGCATAATCATTTCCATTAGCTCTGCATTTTCACCAGTACTGAACAAGAACCTGAATGCTGCAGGGGATGGAGGGGGATGTCAATGGGCACCATTTTTTCAGCATGGAGGAATTTAATGGAACACCTTTGCTTTTGTCAGATCGCCCTTCAACATCCATCACACAGCAACAACACATAATGGAATACTGGTGGGAAGGTTCTCCCTCTACTGCCATACCACCAACATACACCTGACACTGAGGGCTGCAATAATAAAATAGGAGGCATTACTTTTGGAGCAGACCTTGTAAAACACGTGATGTGAAATTTAATTTGAGAGACTGGTAATGCTTGAAATTGTTATAATAAGAACTGCTATATAATAATAATTTTTATTTTGTTATAATAATTGGTGCTCGCACTGGTTTTGGGATTAACCATCTTGGATTAAGGAGAAGTAATGCAATACAGCCCACCAGAACTCAGACCTCATTTCTAACATGACTTCATAGATAAAATGGAAAGTGTCCCTTCTCAAATACTGAGAAGACAGAACATAATAATACAATATAATAAAATAATGGAGTAGCCTGTTAAAGTGACTGTTACTCTACAATAAACCACAGAAAAGCATTTCAAGGTTGTGACACATAGAATTGGACACATTATTACAAGGGAAAGAAAAACACTACTCCAAAAGCAGAGCTGCCTAGGACAGGTGTTCAGACTTCCAGAAGAATGTCCTTAAGGTTCAACAGTCATCTATCCTGATATGCAAGAAAATGGGCAGGTGGAACAGCTGATTTAAATTTGGCTGAACAGTGTGAAAACCTCCTGAGTTAGACTGAAGGGGTGGGAACTAGGAGCAGGGAAAAGTAAACAGAAAGCAGCAGCACTGCTGGGGAATGTCATTAAGAAATCCTCTGCCCCATCAGTGTTGAATCTGGCAGGGTTGTGAAGGGTAACCAAGGAGACTTAAGTAGAAATAAAAGCAGCATTAAGATGATTATATGCATTCGTTAAGGAATGGATCCTTAGCCTCCTAAAAGACTGTCTCTACCTGCTATGTTAGCATGTTTGGCTCCCCATCCATTGTGGTACAGCTGGCCCTTGCTGCTTTCTGATGGTCATTAACCAGATGAAATTAAACACGTGATCCTAATTTAACTGAGACGGCACACTAAAGTATTTTACAAGTTTATACAAAGCTCATAGTTCAAATACCACATCATTTAACCATTGGTTTAGCAAGTTTTGCCTTACTGCTATAGCAAATACTACATATTTTCATTTCAGACACTGTTTGGGGAGACTTCATTGTTTTTTGTTTCAAGGAGGTTTCACAGTAGTTCAGGAAAGGCATTCCCAGCCAAATGGAGCCAACACTGGCATATGCTTTCATCAAAGTTAACCCTTTCTCTTTCTTGCCAAACTGATATTTTTGCCCAGCTTTACAGTCTGCTGATGGGAATGATATTCCTTAGTGAACCTAAAGCAGAAAATACAGGTGAGGGCAGGTTTTGTTTTAATTCAGGTATTCTCTAGGACTTTACAGAACAAAGGTCTGTGTCAAAATGACAACAGTAAAGCTGGCCAGATTCTTACACTGGTCCTTTCTAACCTATGGCATTGTCATATCCTGGTTGTTAGCTGGCATCCTTACTGCTGCTGGCCCACTGCAAACAGCCTTCGCTGGCTTACGTGGAGCTTTTTCACCAAGCTGGGTTATGCACATTCATTTCTGCACTTGCAAGCCCACCTGTTGCTACTCCCCACTCAACAGCCCCTATGAGCGGCCAAGCTCCGTTGGGCTGCCAGTACGGCTCACCTACCCCAACCAGGTCCTCCTCCTGAAAGATGCCCAACTCCAGGCACTTCGCGGCCACCTGTCTGGTCTGCATGTTATCCACCAGCGTGCCGTGCAGCAGTTGCACCAGGTGCACGCAGAGGTCGTGGTCGTCCTCCTCCCGGGGCGAGGGCAGCTGGCTGGGGTTCACGTAGCAAGCGGCCAGGTCGCAGCCGCCTTTCTTCAGCGCCAGTAGGAACTCAGTGAACCAGCCGGAGCCGCGGGGGCCGCGTTCCACGGCGCGCAGCAGCTCCTCGGCCCCCTCCACCTCGCCGCGGTGCAACGCCACCGCCCGCACCCTTTCCTTCTCCTCTGCTCTCAGCGAGGGCAGCCAGTCCAGCACCGGCTGCACCCGGATGCAGCGCTTCAGCCGCGGCCTGAAGCAGGAGATCATGTAGAGGAAGCGCTCGTCTCGGCACTCTTCTGACATCGCTGCGCTGCGGGCCGGCTCTGCTTCTGCCGGGAGCGGGGGCTGCAGGTGCGGACGAAGGAGCAGGAATCGCCAGCTCGATGTCAGCTGTTCTCAGGCTGCCCCCTTCCCTGGCACTTAACATGAAACCCCGCTGTGGCTTTCGGTTTCGCTTGCTGTTCGCTGCGTAACGGCAGCCGCGCCCAGCCCCGGGAGGGCAGGGCAGGCAAGGCACTGAGGGGAAGTGCTGATTCCAAATAATTGGAAAACTGCAACGGGGACTCTGAGTTTGAAAACAAAACTGACGTGTACCGTTCATTTTCCAGAGCTTGCGTTCCTAGGGTTGCTCACAGCGCATCCATGATCTCTATACGAGCGGTTCCCGTTGGCCCACCGGGGGGGAGAGGGAGGAGAAAAGGTAGAGGCTCTGCGCGAAGGGAAAGGTCAGCATCCGGCTGCAGAACGCGCCCTTCTCAGAATATCGCCCCTGTTGTACCTCCGTATGCCTTTATGTCACACTTCACTTCACAAAACCCATATACTGATCCTGCCCTGTCTCCCAGACTTTCGGGTGCAACCTAAAATGCTGGGGCCAGAACCTGATGGGTTTCCACGGGCATGGAGAGCACAGCACAGCAGAACATGTCGGGCTGCCCACACAGGCAGCTGTACCAGCAGTAACGTACTGCCCATGAACCAGTACCCGACTTGAACTTAAGCTGCGTTTCAAGCTCTGCTAGTGGCTCTAACCAGGCAAAACTGTAGGCTTTGGATATCTTTGTGCAGATAACATCTTTCTTCATAATTTATTTTTCTTCTCCATAACAAATGGATAGTATTCCATACTTTGGTAATCTTTGCTATATAGATCTGATTCAAATTAAAAAAAAAAAAAAAAAGATACATCTGAACATCACTCCCAGCTCCTTACATAGCACTGGGAGGCTGAGGTCACTGGTTTCATCCTGCAGAGATCCCAAAGTACAGCTTGGAGGTGGCTGCTGTCCTCGTGTAAAACAAAATTAATTCACATCAATCTTGCTGCTCTCTGGGTTTCACCCAGCAATACTGCAGATGAGTTCATTTCAGAGATGTTGCAGAAATTCAGTTTTCTCTCTTGTTTGTATTACTGTACAGTCATCTTTCATCAGTTTTCATTTCCCACTTCAGTTGTTTCACTTTCGTTTCACTACTGCTGATCCCGGGTTTCGCTCATTGCTGTTCCGTATTACTGCGCTATGGAGTTTCACTTGAACAACTTCCTGCTACTTTTTGCTGCCTTCCTTACCTAACTTACCCACAGGGTTGTGTTTCTGTCAAGGGCTTGGGACCTGCAGCTGTCACTCAGGTGCGGTTTGTGTAAACAGATGTTGTGCACGTAGCAGTGGTACCTGAGGCACAGTGCACTGATACCAGAGCAGTCCTTTATGGGGTCAGTGACTTTGCAGATGTGACAAGGAAGCCTGTACCTTACTTGGGTCAGTGCTACCTGATGCACCAGATACTGCTAAGGCTGACCAGTGGCTGATCTCCTGTCCTGCCCTACTCTCCTGTTGCTCTCCAGCAGAATACCTGCCCTTCTCGCCCTGCAGTCATTCCCAAGACTCAGATCTGGCTAAAGCCAGTCACAGCCTCTGACAGCAACACGAGCACCTCCTTGCCCCGTGTGGTACACCACAGCAAGCTCAAAATGCACGCGTGCAGCCGGGGAGACGGCTCAGAGGCAAGGATGAAAGCACATCGCTTTACTTCAGCCAAGAGGCCGCGCAGCCCCTCTCAGTGCCCCCCGGGGCAACTCCGTGCAGGCGCCCAACAGCAGTTCTGGTCGATGGCAGCGGCACGGGCGCCGCCGCGTTGCTATGGTAACGGCGCAGCCTCCATTTTGCCGCTCTTGGCGGTGGCTGCGTGCGCTCTGCGGGGAGAGCAGAGCGGAGGCTGTGTGTACAAAGGGACCAGCGGCTGAGCTTCGCTCCGAGATCCTTGTGCAGCATTGTGAAGCTGATGTCGCGGGCTGCATCCCGCGCAGATCGCGAAGTACAGTTTGGAGGTGGCTGTTGCCTTTGTGTAAAACAAGTTTTTGTAGGTTGTTGTGCCCGGCAGGAGCTTGCAGTGGTCATGAACAGCGAACTTGTGTGAAAAGAACGTTCTAGGAAGGACAAGATGTACAGAGCTGCTCCGAAAGTAATGCCTCCTATTTTATTATTACTGTCCGCAGTGTCAGAGATGTATGTTGGTGAAAATGCAGAGCTAATGGAAATGACTATGCTGAAACATAGTGTTTTGTGATGGAGAATTTGCCCTATCAAATAGTGTTATTGTGGTCTTTGTTGTAGTGTTTGTGGAAATAAATAGAAGGCATTACTTTCAGAGCAGCCTATGCACTATACATTGAAAAGTTGTACTGGCCTTCATAAAGTAGTAGAGTCCTTACAGCGACGATTATACCACAAACACAGCTGTATAAGATTTGGATGGTGTTTGTATTACATGTCCTTGAGCAGAAGATCGTTGTGTGGCTGCAGCACCAGAGATGAAAAGAAATATTCTTTGTTTAGTGACTCGGTCTAAATGCGGTCACTATGGGGCTCGTTGCCTAGTTTTCATAACGCTGGTGTTTTGTATCTTCCAGATTGCTTAAACAAACCAAACCTTTGTGCTTGCCTCCTTTGTAAATGTTGGTTAATATTACATCTTTAAACAGTTGTCTTGTGTATTTAGATATCTTAACAATTTTTATGATACTTTGAAGTCACCTTGCTAGAATTGCAATTAATTAGTTGTCATTGTGAGGCAAGCTCAGATAACACTATTTGTACACAACCGGAGTTGTTGGAGCCTTTAATCTTTAATCTTTAATCCTATCTAAGGCTTTTCCATAGGGAAATCTGGATTTTCTTATTTTTTTTCTTTTTAAGAGTTCAGCTTAACATCAAAAGCTTTCAATGACTATCTGGACCACTAAAATCACAGTCTGAATAGGCCTTACATGGTAAACCCACTCCATGATTTATTGAAAATTCTCTGAAAGAGAATGACAGAATGAACAGAATTGTCTGTCTTAAGGAGAGGCATTTCACCAGGATCAACCATTTCAATCAAAACCATTTGTAAAATTGTGGCCTCATGGATAGCAATTGTCAGCTTCCTAATCCATATTTTATAAATGGAAGTTAGATTTTGAATTTTGAAGTTAGAGGGACTAGACATGAACATACCTTCCAGTTTTCCTTGAAGATAGTGCCTAATATGCCGTGCAGAAATTATTGTGCATAGGAATTTCTGAAACAATCTAATCTTGTGTCTCTGTTTTGTGTGCTTCAGGCCAGTGAGTGGTATCCTGTGCAATCTCTTGCTTTTCTGTTTATTCCCATAGTGTTATGTTAAATATAATTCCAGAAATTTTTGCTTGGTATTTTCAGTGCTGAGATTTGTCTGGCCTTTTGGATTCCTGTTAGTGGTGCTTGTATTTGGGTGACCGAATTCAGTGCCGTCACAAATGAAATACTCACATCCTGTTGCTCATGACTGAAATAAATGTAATACGTTTATTTGTGCAGATTTAGACTTGTTGCAAATAATTTTTTATGGTGCTATGGAACAATGAATATATATGCAGTTAAGAGTTTTCCAGGAGATCTTTTCTGAAAGCAAAATAAAATGTATATTAACTATATTATACAAAATCCTGTTATACAAACAGGATTTGCCTCTGCTCATAATGGTGAAGTATTTATATCGATTAAATTTTCTAGTTTTTTTCTGTCTTCAACTTTACAATGTTGTGAAGATTCAGTATAGAAAATGTAAATAATGCATGAACGGGGCAAATCCGTCTTTTAGATGGAAACTTTAATTTGGCCCAAATAATTTCCATTCCAAAGAGAGGAGCTATGTTCTGTATTCATTAATAATCAAAGAACTTCCCAAGTGAGCATTAAAAAAATACAAGTAGCTAGATGAAGAAAAATGTTTCTTCATTAATAATGCAGTTCTGTCTACTACTCATACATAGATATACAAAGAGAAAATGTGAGCTTGCCATAGGGATGCCTTCATGCAATTACAAGATTGAGGACATGCTCCTTTACTATCACAGATAAAACTGAGCATTGTGATGATCTATGCTTGGATCTTGTTTATTTTTCTCCTGTTTAACTATTTGCTGGTTAACTTCTATTACAGTCATATTTTTCCAGCCTAGAAAAGAAATTGATGCGTAGAGTAAGTGTAGTATATGTGTGTATTGATTGCTGCATGACATGAGTAAGTTATCATTCCTGGTTAAGCTTACCAGGGAATGGTAGGTTCAGAGTAGTCACATGTAAATTTGGACTTGGAATTTTTTAATTCCAAGTCTTTAAGACAGTACTTAAAAGTTATTTATACCAGTGTCTGCATACCAAGTTGTTTTCAGATTTGAAGCAACTTTACAATTTACGATTAATATTTTCATTAAACATTTTATATCAATTTAGAAAGTGAGACCAGATTCCTTGTTATTTGAAGATGGCTGCTAAATACTACAGTTCAAACGAGAGCATCCACCTATATTTTGGTGGGTTTTTCATTAGTGATAATGACATAAGAGATAAATAAACAAGTAGGGAACATGGACTTTACGTTTTCTTTTGTTCTGTGGAAAAAAAAAAAAGAGGAAAAATGACTCGAGACTTTATTGAACACATCTGCAACCTTTTGGAGCAGTTGCATGTAATGATGCAAGTTTGAATAAAGTGTCACAAGATAACTTTTACTTAAAAAAAAAAAAAAAAAAAGCAAACCAGTAGTCAGCATACTTAGCTTGGCATACAGGTCTTCCTTATCAAACACATTTTAATTCACTTAGGATGGTGAGGCAGTGGCACTGGCACAGGCTGCCCAGAAGAACAGGTGTGCATGCCTCATCCCTGGAGGAATTCAAGGCCAGCTTGAGTGGGGATCTATAGCCTGCATGGTAACTCTCATAGCTGGAGTGATTGTCATGATTTCTTTGATGTTTCAGTTACATTAGCTATTCTTGAATTTCCTGGATACTTCTCTGTATCAATATGTTATAATTTATGGGTATTTTTACTCACAAGTTTTAAATGTAAACAGTCAAGATGAGACTTCCTGGGCTCAAGCAAGACCAAATCCACATCTCCTAAATTTCTGAAAGCATCTATGGATATGTTACAACTGTGTATTGACGTATGAGTATGCAACTCCCGTATTATTTCCAGCTTTATTTGGATAACTCAGAACTATTTCTACTGAGTCAGAAATGAACTGCACTCCAGGAAAAAAAAAAAAAAAAAAAAAAAAAAAAAAGATAATTTTTGCTGTTCATATTTCCAAAAACAATGGTTTGTATCTGTTTGTAGAAGAAAAGAAGCTTGAAGCAACGAAGCAATAGGTCATTGTTTGTTTCACTGTACTTAAACAAGAGAAGAAGGTATCTGAGAAGGCAGATCTTTGGCAGGGATTGGACAGCTAGGGACAGTCAATGAAGCTGTCATCTTTCATGTTTTGTTTCTTTACTCAGTAGCAGGTATTTTAGAATTTAGAATTTCTGTAACTATGCAAAGTGTCCCTCAGCTGATCCCAGTTCAGATTGCTCTTTTTGAAAAATACACACATAGAGAAGTGAAGGAACAAAGCTTTGGAGGCCAATGCAAGGAGTAAGGATGGAGCTTTTCCTTCACTTGAAAAAATTGTGACAGTTGTTGCTTTTTCTCTTCCCCAACTCTCTACTCCACTGTTTTACTGGTCTCTTAGCATAAATATAAAATTCAAGGTCATGAAACTGAGCAAAACATGTTTTGTAAATTAGTGCTCATATATTATACTTCTTTTCATTAACTTTATTTCTAATTTTTACTAGTCTCTTTTAAATGTAGTATAACCACAAATAATTTTTTAGAAAATGCTAATTTCTTCTTTGTAACAGATACTAGTAGTAGTTACTAAACTTAGAGCAGAATTTGTTAATGCTTGCCACTGAGGAGTAAAAACAACAAAACCCAGAAGCTATTTCACTTTGTTATTCAGCAGTGCTGTTTCAGTGGAGTATATGGAGGCAAACATTCCAACTGGCTCAATGATGCTGTCACCTGGGATCCAATCCTACAAGGCACTATGCAGTAAGAAAATGAATCATGGTAGAGATAAGAGCAGAGTGTTATAAGATTTGAACCTTTCAACAATCAGAAGTAGCATGAAGCAGAAGAAAACTTGATTGTATATGAAAGAGGCTGCATTCTCCCAGTTTACAAGGGTACTGAGTTAATTCATTTTTGTATCTTTACATACAGAGATGAAGCAGAGCCTTGCTCAGTAATTCAACACTTCCACAAATTTTAAATGAGAGAAGATTCAGCCTCCTTGTGTTAATCTACTTGCCGTGTATGACTAAAAGTGCTATGTATTATTCTGAGCCGACTCATAATGTAAGTATCTTTTAATTTGAAGGTTAACCTCTACTGCATTACTCTGCACACTGGTTTAGAGTAAAGGGATTTTTAAAATTTCAGTGCTCACCCACTAACTGGGTTATACACATGTCTATAATCAGTTCTCTTCCTAGAGAGATTTCACATTAAAGCTTTCAGATTAGAAAATCATGTGAACATTTTAAAATATTTTAAAACAGTAATAAAAAGCTCATTTCCTTCTAAAATAAACACAACATTTGAAGCAGAATAATATTTTAATAAAATTAGATCTAAGTATTCACAAAGCATTATGCACATACAGTACATACTGTATTTAAAGCCTATGGACCTTAAATCATTTTATTCTAATGTAGTCAGCTTTGGACACAAGCTAAGCTTACTTCTTTTGTAATAAGAAAGTTTACAATTGTTCCTCAAAGTGATCTTACATATATACATATATATATATAAGTCTATACTCCTACATGTAAGTGTAGGTATATACACACACTTGCATGTATGCGTGTATATAAACATACACACACATACATACACACATATGTACATATATCATTTACACACATGCACACCTATGGGAATGTGTGTGTGGTACGTGTGTCCACATACATATGTACTCTATCTGGAAACAGTGTAGATGGGCCAGTCATTAAAAAGAGAACTGCAAACAACCACCCTAATAATTGTAAAACAAAAGTCTGTAACATATTTTTAATTTCACAGGTTGTTCATAACTTGCATTGAACAAAAAGAACACAGTCTTCTGTATTATACAGAAATTAGATTTATTGCATTTGATTATGTTTGAGTGACAGCTGAGGAGTACCTGCCTGCTCATGACAGTTAACCTCTATGATGTGAATAAAATAAAATGAAGTAGTACTGGAAACAAACTGTTCAATTAATGTAGTTTTATGGGTGCAATCTCTGGTGTTACTTTCCAGCATGTGGCAGTTTTTCTCACTGTTAAAGTCCTGCCCCGTTTCAGCTGCTTTGGAAGGAGGCTGCTTTCTAAGTCCTAATTGTTTCAAACCCAGAAGACTTGGTTATCTTATTCTTTTTTCTAGGTGCAGAATCATTACCATTTATTATGAAAAGCTCACTACAAGAAAGTCAACACAAATTTTCAGAAGTGAGCTAGTTTTTACTTGGAGTCTAGCTTGGTCAGATAGGAGTTTTTTTCCTATGTAAATTATTGTTATTGGTTTCCTATTTGCTCTGAAGACATATCCACAATAAAATACTGTTTTCATGACAGCAGTAAATGGTTGTCTCCATGCAACGTAAACTGTAATCTTAGAACATGCATGTTATTTAATAAAAAATAAAAATATAAGGTGCCTTGAGAATGCTGGCAGTTTTACATTTGGAACATACAGTTAGTGTGTGTGTGTGTACATATATATTTACATCAGAACTGCTCAACTTTAGCTTACAAGCTTCAGATTTAGGAAAATATACAGTACTTTTGCATATATATTCCTTGTAGCCCCTGAGTCAAGTATAGAGGATTTAAATACAAAAAAGGAAAAACAGCCATTAAAAGCACTTACATTTTTTTATGTGAAATTATAGTATAAAAGTATTATTTCCCAGGAAGACCAGGATCAGAAACATGCCTATGAAGACTCAAGATTCCTACTGTGCTTACTGAACATTCTGGCAAGGAAGGGTGCCTAATTGATGGGAGATAAGGTTTAGGATGCTGTGGGGGACACTCTGCAGAGTGGTCACGTTCTTGATCTAAAAAGGAAGCCAGGTTGTCTTCTGAGGCTGTGTTAAGATGGACTCCACTTGAGAGAGATTCTTTGGATTTAAGTTTTGATTTTTCAAGGTCTAGAAATTCAGGACACTAGAAAGGAAAAGAAACAAGATGGCAATAATTTTATCAGTCTCTTCCAGGTTCTTATTTCTCCTCAAAATTAGCACGTTCAGACTGTTGCTGGAAAACCATATTTGACAGTTAAGCAGTGAGCTGAAGTATTTTTACATGGTACAGCACTTGATTTAATGTAATTGAATGCAGTTCTGTTGATTAACTGGTAGAAGTGTAGGAATCTTGTTCACCCCTTCAGACCTGTTCATATGACATCAAGATACTCATATATTGCTGTTTCTCAAGGTCTGAATATTCTTGAGACCCAAACTAAGAGGATGGATTTCAGTATTCTTGAATTTGTGGTTTTAGAACATACTTCTGAAATCACTTCAGTCTAAACATTAAAACCATTTTGATTCCAGTCTCAGCACTCAATTCTTCACTTTTATACTCTGAATCCACGCAAAGCATGCAATGTGCCTGCTGATGTTTTATTGCAGAGTTGCTGTATTTCTGTTCTGACAGAGTTATGTATACATTTTGGGCAGAAGTTTGCATGGTGGGCAAACACTTCTGAAAACTGCTGCATGTGTCCTGTCCTGACAGTCTTCATGCATGCAAACTGATGCTTTCTGGATGTGTTGAGCTTATTGTGCCTGTGTGTGTTTCAGCACGTGTGTGAGGAATTTGATACATCAAAGAACACCATATTTACTAATTGCTTGCTCCAGCTTGTCAGGAAATAACTTGCCACATCTCTGTTCAAACTGTTAAGTTCAAGAAATTCCAAACAAATTTGGAAAGTGAAATACTGCCTGAACAGAATGGAGTGAAAAATGTGTAGGTATGTGGCAGCTCTCTATGTGCAAAGTTCTGTCGGTGGCAAGTGACTAAACATGGTTTTTGTCCCCTCTTACCTCCACATATTTATGACCATCCTGCTCAGTTACGGTGTTTCTGAGGACTTCAAGAGCAGAACCTATGGCAGATGCACCTGAGCAGGCAGGTCTCATGCTGATGTCTTGCACTTGTGTCTAATACTTATAGTTTCTGCTAATTTTCGTGATGGGCATGATCATTAAGTAAATTGATCTGATTATAAGATCATTGTATAAATCTCTCAAACTCTCACAGAAAATGTGGTTTCTGAAATTACAGCATCAAAAGCCCAGTGCAGAGATGCTAGATCAAAATAATAATTTCATATTCCTTAACTAATGAGCAAGAACCTAAATTGTTGTGATTTTTTTCCCCCCACAATAAACTAACAAGATTAGCAATGCTCTTTTAATTTTATTGGACATATACAAACCTGAGATGAAGGACTGAAACTTCTGTCTGTTTTAATTGATGCTACAGGATGAAGCTTTCGTGTAAACCGGATTGCTGACTGTTGATACTCTGCACCTGCAGTCACCATGCTATAGGCAGGTGGAATGAGTGTTGATTGCCTCTGCAGAAGCTGCAGTATGGTTTGAATATCAGCAGTCATCTGGGATTCAAGCCTAGAGAAGTAATAAAATTGGTGAACATGTGGTCAGTACTGGGTGTATTTTAACATACTGATTACAGATGTATTCAGGAGGAACTTGTAGATTATTAATAAAGCAAGTTCTTGTTGTGACATGAACATGCCTTAAGTAGGAAAGGACAGAAGAGGGAGTACTGAGCCTTTCCAAAGCATGCTAGCTCTCCCTTTCCTTTACAAATCATACTTGTCAGTTTGCTTCTGATCTTTTTGCAACATTAAGAATTAGTTAATTATTGTCTTATACTTGGAACAGAAAGTAATAGAGGGAACCAGATCTTCCATTGAAGTTCACAGGAATAAATCCACTCTTCATCAAACCTAAATTGATTTGTACTGGCTGAGGATTAGACACTTTATGCATCTGGCAATTAATTCTGACATTCTCAGTGGTAATTGAATACATTGAAATAAGCAGAAAACCACACTAGTGTCCTTCCACAGTTAGGAATGAAAGATTCTTTCAAGATCTTTAGTTTAGAAACAAAAAAAATAGATCTGACCAGATTTCTTTACTGTGGAAGTTTATTAAGACCACATAAGTAATTTCAGCATTTCTGATGTTCAAACTCATTAGCTCTTTTCCATTTATTTTCCTTTTCACAAGTTTTATCCGCTTATGTCATTCTTACTTACAATTTTGCAGCACTAAAATGATTTTCAAATGGTCTTACCAATATGACTGACAAGCTCAGCAATAGGTAATGCTCATAATGCCTCCTCAGCTGCTGGAAGGATACAAGCATGCTACAACAGACTGTAGTTTGGATACATAGCCTTCTGTACTGCGTTTATCTTCTGACAAGAGCAAACAGATCTTTGTCAGCAGCCTTTAATGGTGTGAATTTTACTACCTGGGCTTCCTACAGAAGCAGAAATGATCCTTTGAAGACAGATTTTTGCTTTTACCAGGATCTTTGCTGCTTGGTACCTTTTTTTTTTTCATTCTGGTGTTGTCCATCACCTGATTCACTTATTTATAAAAGCATACATGAAATTAATCTGAAAGTTATGCCCGAAGTATTTTTAGGATGCTGTTTCTTCATTTACTGGGAGAAGCTAGTTCTGTGGCATCGGCTTTTGTAATGAAAGGCATAAAACAAGAGGTTAGTCAGTCATGCTCTACTTGCCCTCTTGTTCATCTCCCTTGGGTTGTTTGCTACTTGAAAATATGCTGATCTCACACAAGCATGATGCTTGTGCCACAGGGGAAAAAATACTGCAGCAGCATGCCACCATCCAGAGAACTTCTGTCTGCTAAACTTGAGATTCAATATCGCAGTGTATGTAAGGGATTTAGCATTGGTGGACTTGCATCAGCACTTGTCTCTTTCTTTAAACTAACTATAAAATGTCTTCCTTCTTACTTTGTCAGCACTTTGTAAGGTTTCCCGTGTACTTTTAATCAAAAAGTTCAACTGATTGTGTTTATTCATATTATTGTATATATCAATTCTCCCTCCTTTCTCCACAATTTAAAGAGGTCCCCATCACGCCACACAAGCAAAAACAAATGATAACCTTAAGTGCTTGGCCCAGAACCTCCCCAAACAGGATCTTAAAGAGGAGAAAGAGAGATAATATTAGGCCCAGAGTCCTGATACAGTGACTTTCCAGCCTTCTATATGCTTTTAACAATTTAGTTAGAATGCCAAGTCCCTGACTTGGCATGGAAAAAGACAGGAAAAAGTAATCCTGCTTTTTAGTCCAGCAAGCCACATATGACATAAGCAATATAGAATATTGCCTATAACAGCATTCATAGAAGATCCAGAAAAGATCAAAATCTTGAAATCATGAAAGGGTTTATAAACATGAAAAGAGTTAAAGAATAAAATAGTTTAATAAAACATGTAACAGTTTAAATATTAGTTTACTGGTAACAATATTATTTTATCATTCAAAAAAATAACGAGAAAGGCTCTTCTACAAGGCAATTCAGAGTCATTAATATGGGTACCCAGAAGTAAGTGATGTAATTACTCTAACAGTCATTTATAAATTTTGTACTCAGCATTCCCAGAATAGTTTTTTTTTCCAAGAGCCCATAAGGCTGAATTTAGGTGATACTTAGGCTGCTATTAATTCATGTGTGCAATACAGTTTATTTGTAGCTCCTGAAGATATGAATACCTTTGGAGATCTCCTGCACAAGTTCATTCCTATTGTAGAATCATTGATATCTGTTGAATTGTAGACCCTTTCACAAATATATACATTTATAATATCTGTTTTTACCTGTTGAGTTGTTCTTGAAGTAAATCTAATCGATTCTCTACTTCTCCATATACGTAGTCACTTTCAGTATCACAGATACCCCATGTAACATGAGGTAATGCTGAGTGACTTGGGGAGTCTTGGTATTCCTTCATGTTCTGTTCCTCCCAGTTTCTTTTATCAGTGATATCTGAAGAAAAATAAAATATAGAAAAAGTATAGATTTACACACATGCTGTTAAAGAGGGTTGCCATGACTCAAACATCCCATTTACAAATGTTTCTCCAAAACCTTAGAAGACAGCTTGATTTTGTGGAAATTTGTGTGACTTGTATTTATTCCTTATTAATGTTTAAGGAAAAACAACAAGGGAGAAATCCAAAAATTATAACATTTTAACATAAGGATAGCAACATGCTAATATTTTAAGCTGAACATATACAAAGTATACAAAGTAGCTTTATATAGATAGAGTTCCGCCAAGTAATGACTTCTATTTCTTTAGTTTTCTTATTTTTTAACAGTGAACCCCTAGTTTTCTCAAACTGAAATTAGATATGTTTGCTCTAAACTAAATGTATGAAATTATGTACTTGACTGTCTTTGTGTCTGGCTAAAACCTCTTCTCTTGCCCTAGGGTGTTGTATTGAAGTGTATTTACTATTTAGCTTTTTGGTGTAAAAGGAGAACTTGCTACACTGTATTTACAGCATTTGACATGCATTACAATGTGTTGGAATGTCTCCAAACCAAACAACCAAAGGTAAATTGGTTATTACTTTCAAAGGGAAAAAGATTTGCACTGATGTAGTTTTAGTATCACGAGCCTCCAACACAACCCTTATGTTGGTATGTAAAGCATGTTTCAGAGACTGGTGCTGTACTACGGTGTGAAGGGTGCCAGTTTATTTTGTTTAATATTCTATGACTTGTAACAGAAGGAAATATTTTGCATCACTAGGTCAGTCAGAGATCACTTAAATACTAAATTAAGCTTCATGGTAAGTGTATATACACATACATATTTCTACTTGAGCTATGGGTAACATTTTGGATTAATGTACAGACAGTAAATTTACTTCAAGGTAAAAATTCTCAAATGCATAATTAGGATTTACTATAGTTTCAACTAGATTGCTCATTTTAGTTCCCCTTCTAAATCTGTATATTTTATACACATGTAAATAAAAAGTCTTTGTATAGTCCTTTATATTTATATTCAGACCTTTGTAGAAAATGATTATGACTATTCCAGGCTCCAGCCTGTACCTGCTTGCACAAATCCCATTCATTTTGTCCCTAATACTTATCTGTCAAAGAAGTCAGCTGCAACTGACTTCAGAAGTAACTGAAGTGCACTCCTTTCCTTTTTGCTGTTTGAGTTATTTTTTCATCCTCTTTCAATTTGTTTAATTTACCCCTCTGTGCATTTTTAGATTAGTTTACATTCCTTGTTTCAGGCATTTTTCCTTTTCACCAAACTAGTGAAAAGCTACAAATTATTTATCATGGGATATATGTTATACCCTTATCTGATATAAAGATCTTGCTGTGAGCTTTACAGAGCCTACAGATGACATTTATGATGAACAGTGCTTTTTCTACCTACTTACACATTATCCTCATTAGGGCTGAAGCACCTCTCCTGTGAGGAAAGGTTTAGCTTCTCCAAGGTTTAGCTTGGAGAAGAAAAGGCTGGGGGGATCTCACTGGGGCCTTCCAGTACTTGAAGGGAGCATATAAACAGAAGGGGAACAGCTGTTAATAAGGGTGGATAGTGATAGGACAATGGGGAATGATCTTAAACTGAGACAGGGGAGGTTTCAGTTAGATATTAGGAGGAATTTTTTTCACCCAGAGGGTGGTGAAGCACTGGAACAGGTTGTGCAAGGAGGTTGTGGATGCCCCATCCCTGGAGGCATTCAAGGCCAGGCTGGATGTAGCTGCAGGCAGCCTGGTCTGGTGGTTGGCGACCCTACACACAGCAGGCGGTTTGGAACTAGATGACCTTTAAGGTCCTTTACAACCAGGCCATCCTCAGCCTTTATTATTTTGAATCAATCTTTTGTCATATGCAATCAAAAATTGCTTTGTACTGCTCAGATTCTCCTCTGTTCTGGAAAAAAAAAAAAGGCTATTGAAATTTTAACACCTGTTCAGCACATCTTCCATTAGAGTAATATTTGTAATTATTTAACTATGTAAAAAAAAAATCACAGAATACAGAGCATTTACTGTGCTCAGACAGCTGCTTCATTGTACAGCTGGAGAAAATCCTTGACCAATTATCAGGTGTCAGCCTTTGTCACAGGAGCTGTTGGATGCAAAGCTCACAATCCTTTAGTAGCTAGTGAATGTTTTTTTTCAGGATTCTCTTAACACTTCTTTTGGCACTGCATGCTGATAACTCAACTTAGGTTATGTTCATTTTACACTTGGGAAATTTTTCTAAGCAAACAATAGCAACCAGAGCCATGTTTCAAAGAAAAGAGGAAAAAACAGTGTGTGAGTGACATATGAGAGGCTTGTCCAAATGCTATTAGCTAATCCTTTTCAATCACATCTTTAAGCAGCATCAGCCAATGAAGAAAACAAACAAAAAGAAAGAAACAAAAAAAGAAAAGAAATCTGCTTTTCAGCTCTGTATTTCAAATAGACTTAGCCAGGAAGGGGAGCTCTCACTACATGCCTCCAAGCAGAGGAAGAGACTTTCTCCTCTTTTTAATCAGAAGTAGCTGCTTATTATATTATGTGCTGTTGGGTTAGCAGGTGGTAGAAAGTTTCCTGGA